CTGCAGGTGGTGGGCCCACGGGAGGACGTCCCCATGTCGCTCGTTCGGGCTAAGCCCGGCCGGGCCTCGTGAGGAGAGGCCTGGCCACCAGGCACTCGCATTCGAGCCCCAACCCCGGGCCTGACTCCAGTTAACAAAGTTAACAAATTTTATTAAAACCTCTAGGAAAGTTTCAGGAAAAAACAAACATCACTACATTACAACTTTACTGTCATGAGGCAGGATTTTCTGTGGAACTGTTGCATTAGACGGTATACATTTTTGTTAGGTGAACCTACTAAATTGTCAACTGAATGAACTGTAGTGTAGATGTTCATAAAAATGTGTTTGTGATTACAATTGTTGACTTGCAAGTTATCAAAACCATGCATGTTCTCTTCATTATAAATGAGTGTATAGACTGTATGGTCACACCAGTCATCTAATTAAGCTTTTGTTTAAAGTATATACTTATAATAGATTATCCCATTTATTATGCATACATGGGCTACATGTTCATATCTCTGTTTGATATTTGTTGCCACATTTGTTAATGTGTGTTTTGTGGTGGAAATGATACATTTTCTGTGTTTAGGTCTTTAAAAGGTCTTAAAAAGTAAATTTAATTTCAAAAAATGTGCAGCAACCATGATATTAGCTAACTCATTTAGGCTTTATTAGGGAAGAACTTTTTTTTTTTTAGCTAAATAGTAGAAGTGCCATGAATGTCTCCAGATGTAACAGGTTAAAAGTCGTGGTTCTTATGTAAAGCTCTACTCAGGAAGGAGTGATATATGCTGTATTTAAAACTCATCCCACAGATGAGTTCTCACTACCCACTTCTAATTTTGATTTTGTCTGGGTAGCCTGACCTTTTAGGCTTGAAATAAGCCAGTCTATGCATATTACATTGGATTATTCTAAGAAAAAAATTAAGACTAGCCGAGTATTTCTGATCTAAAATATCTTTGTCCATCCGGTCCCTGAAACAAAGCAAATCTCAGCACCCGATCAAGGGATTCTTGATTACTGAATACTGATCAGGAATCAAAGGGATCTGCTTTATTACTCTGAAAACTGAATGATTGCTAAGCTCAAAATGTGACATTCATGATTATCAGACTCAAATCTGATGTTATTTTACTCTGTCTTAGCTGGAGAATCTGATGCTGGACAAAGATGGTCACATCAAAATCACAGATTTTGGCCTTTGTAAGGAGGGCATTACTCCAGATGCTACCATGAAAACCTTTTGTGGAACTCCCGAATATCTAGCACCTGAGGTAAGGCACTGAAAATGACTGGGTGGCACATGTTAAACACACTGTAACTTCCACACAAGCAGTCTCATTTTCCCATACACTTGTCTCTACAACACTTTTTCGCTACCAGTCACTCGTAAGAATCACATTGCACATTAAGCTAGTGAGTTGAAAACCTCCCTCACAATAGATACTGTAAAATGAAACATTTTACTCCTGCTTTTTGCAAGTGGTGCAGTCCAAACTTTATGTATTTACACAGTTACACATTTTTGTTTTTAATGCTTCATTTCATTTGAAATAAAATGGATTCTACAGTACAAGTGCCACATCACAACTTTAGATTAAGTAGGTTTATATCGGTATTGAAAGAAGTGTGTGAGATGTAGCATATTTAATACATCAGTGTTAATTCAAAAAAGGGTCACACCTGACAGAAAGTGAGTTGCCATTCAGACTGAGGTAGATATGTTTGTCAGTATGAGCAGCAGCATTTACGTTATCCGGTAATTACTGGACTTTGATTGGTAAAATTCATTAAAAATCCCCCAATAAATTAAAAATTAACCTGTCAAAATGGTCGTAATGTGCTGAGATTTATGAGTTCAGCAAGCTGTACCCCGACTGGGCTACACTGGCTAAAGTTGTTTGTGTTCTGCCTGTGTACAGGGAGAAAGAGAGAGGACACACTATGGAAGAGAGGAAACCCAGTTAGTGATGAGTAATGGGGGCATATAAGTGAATGCAGAGAGAGGAGAGGCGCTGAGATCATCCTGAGAGGACACCCAGCAGTCTAGGCCTATAGCAGCATAACTAAGGGAAGGCTCAGATCCAGATCAATCTGAGCTTTATCAAAAAGGAAAGTTTCAAGCCTAATCTTAAAGGTAGAGAGGGTGTCCGCCTCCAAAACTGAGACCTGACCAGTCATAAAAAGTCTCGTAAAGATAGAAAATATATGTTCTCTGCTCCAGTATTAAACCAACTCCAAAATGTGCTGTTTGTTCACTGAGCTCCTCCTGCTTCATGTTGATTTGCATGTCAACCAGCAACAGTGAACACATCAGCTGTGTGCGGAGCTTGCAACTGGTCAGCATGTGCCAAAGTTTGGTCATCCTGCATCCGCTTGCACCATACACATACACAGGTAAAACAGTCTGTTTAAATCCTAGCATCACTTAAGTTAAATGTAAAGTCAGTTTCTGCTGCTGATCATCGCATCTGATGTTTGTCTCCACGGCCACTCCTGGAGATTACTCTAGTTTGTCACTCGTGGGTGAAATTTACGTATGTGGATATGAGCGCACATTGTTTGAGTCGAGGTTGTGAATCAGTCACCACACCTTAAATTTTATTATCACAACTTGTACTGTTCCATTTTGCAGGACATATACTTTACTGATGACTGGACTCTTCTGTTCAAAACATTGACAATATTGGCCTGAACCATATTCAATAAGTATCACTGTGATACAGCTAAAGCAAGTGTACTGACGTTCACAGTCAGCCCTGTGAAGTAGCTACCCTATCAGGGCTAGCTAGCTAGTTTTCCATTTTACTACCAGTAAAACACTTGGTTTTAACTGCTGCCTCAAGTTATCCGTGAAGGATTGCCCTCTTCATGCGACCCACACACACAGGTCCATGCCCCCCCCATTTTAATGCTTTTCCAAACACAAGCTGCCAGTATCACACACACTCTTTTCCCGATCCCTGACACCTCTAAGTTGTGAACAACATCAGGCTGTGATCTATCAGGTACCAACGTGTAGCCTGTCATATCCTTCATTCAAGAATTTATAACCGTAATCTGACATAGTGACCATTTTATCAGACAAAAAAATTGTGTAGTCTGAACCAGGCATTACCATATGTTAAGGCTGTTTAATGAGTACTCCTCAGGTGATCAGTTTGACTTCCATTTAGTTCTTTTTGTGGGTATTGGTGGCAGCTGAGAAGAGCAGACGTAAAATCTATAATTCAATTTTTTTTTTTTTTTTTTTTGTGTAGTCCCAAATCACAACAAAAGTCATCTCAGAGCGCTTTACAAAGTAAGGTCTAGACCTTACTCTTATTATTATCCATCCATCCATTTTCCTCCGCTTATCCGGAACCGGGTCGTGGGGGCAGCAGTCCAAGCAAAGATGCCCAGACTTCATTTTCTCCAGACACTTCCTCCAGCTCCTCTTTTCCGAGGTGTTCCCAGGCCAGCCGAGAGACGTAGTCCCTCCAGACCATAGTCGCATAATAGTGGAGGGACTATTATTATTATTGTTGTTGTTATTATTGTTATCATAGAGAAAAACCCAACAAATCCCCCTTGAGCTGAGCAAGCACTTGGCAGCAGTGGGGAGGAAAAACTCCCTGTGCAGATATGCAATGCGTGATCATTCAAGAATGATAAAAGAAATGGTTTTAGGTCAGAGAACTGTGCAGTGATATGTACCAAATATATACATGTTCAAGGCTGTAAATTTAAAGTTACTTTTACTGCTGTTGCTGAGAAATCATAATGAATCATAGTGTCTGTTCTTCACAGGTCCTAGAAGATAATGACTATGGCCGGGCAGTGGACTGGTGGGGTCTGGGTGTAGTCATGTATGAGATGATGTGTGGCCGCCTGCCTTTCTACAACCAGGACCATGAACGTTTATTTGAACTTATCCTCATGGAGGAGATCCGCTTCCCCAGGAACCTATCTCCTGAGGCCAAGTCCCTGCTAGCTGGCCTGCTCAAGAAGGACCCCAAACAGAGGTATTTGACTGGACTGAATCCTGTGATTCCTTTTGGAAATGCCTGCTTAATTCTTACAAGATCTAATTTGGACTGACAGGTTAGGTGGAGGTCCCAATGATGCCAAAGACGTAATGAGTCACAAATTTTTCATCACCATTAACTGGCAGGATGTGGTAAAGAAGAAGGTAAGACTTGTAATTCTGAGACTAGAGGAAGTGAAACTGTTTTTTTCTTTTTAATCACAGAAACAATAGATTTCCCAGCTGACTGCATAGTCCACATTCAAATGTCTGATTTCAGACACTTTTATCAAGGTTTAGTGATCATCAACTCCAACTTTTACCCCCAGTTGCAGGTAGGCAAAAAGCTTACATCTTGAAAGCTGCTCTCAGACATGTAAAACATGTTGCTGGAAATACAAGAGAAAGGAAAAAAGCTTATTAATCTCCAATAATCATTGACTAGAATCGAAAGCATTCCTCTCTGCCACATTTCAAGATAGGTTTGATGTATATCTGACAATTGTTTTCTGAATCTGCTTAAATTGAACACACATCTATGACCAAACAAGCATTTTTGCAGTTCTTAAAGAGCCAATTTCCTTGTTTTCTGATTATCTACAATGTTACAATGATGAATTATCATCTTAGACATGACCTAAATCTCAAAAAATGAGGTGTAAGTTAATACTTTTATGCAGAAGCCACTCGGTTTATACACATCTCGCAAACTCTCACTTGCGAAACTTTTTTCTAACAAAATAAAGTTGTATGTGATAGTTTAAGGCAGGGGTCCATGGATCATTTGGTACCAGGCCACAAAGAAAAAATTTTGTGGTTAAAATTATATTTATTTTTCTTTCATTGGTCTTCCAATCTTATTTTGAAAAACCACTTTTTCCTTCCTCTCCTCACTACCGCACTACCACACTTGACACATCAGTGACACAAGCTAACCCTTGAAAAAAAAAAAGAGCCAAAAACAAAATTCACTGGAAAGTTTTTTCGGGAAGGAACAAGTAAACGATGGGACAGCAGAAGGGTCACAGACTGCCAGCAAAAAGAAAGCTGCATTTAAAAGAAAATACCATGATGCCTACCTAAGTTACGGGTTCATAGCAACAGGTGATACACAAGCTCCACACCCACTATGCATAATTTGCGGTGACCATGTGAGGAGAGTTCTTCTATTTTGAAAAGAGAAGACTAATAAAAGAATATTTCACAGGTGAAATTTATTATGCATTAACGTATCAAAATAAGCATGTGCACATGGATATTCACTGTTTAGGATAAAGAGAAAAGACTGTCCTCAACTTGTCAGTATACAATATTTGTATGAAAAGGTACTACTATCTAATTGGTCAAAAACTGTTGGGGAGAAGCCATGGTTTAGACTTAACTCTCCCGTTATTGGTCCTTCAGTCCGTCCGTCCTCCAATCGTCCTCTCTGCTCCAATGGGCGTGAACAGCACCCTAAAAAGAGGAGGAATACCTATACAGCCTTAATTCCTACATACACACTTACTTCTTCCTTTGTTTCCAACTAACTGCTCCATTTTAGGCATTGCTTTCCGGTTCTGCCTGTGTGTGCGCGTATAATTCTACCTTTGAAGTTTTCTCCTCTTCCTGGCTTCAGATCTAATCTCTGTTTTCTAACTTTGGTGTCTCAGTGACCCCTAATTCCCTGGCCATCAGCCAGGTGGTGATAGTAAAGTAACTGTGGACCCTCTTTGCCAAAGCTGTAAATCTAATGAGATTCAGTGTTTTAGTGAACCAGTCCCTTTGATGTTAAACAGTGCTCCAGTTGGCTAACACTATAAATATTGACCAGTGATTCAGTGAACACATAGGATAATATGTAACTACATAAACATAACTGTGAGATTAAAGTATATAGACTTATGTATGCTATAAAATATAAACCTTAACTAATTCTATTCATATCTACTTAGAAATAAAAATCACCCTAACAACCGACAAGCTAATGAAGCCATGAAACCCTCAAAAATGCTCTGCCACATTGAAACAAAACACCCTGCGTTAAAAGACAAGCCCTTGGAATTTTTTGAAAGAAAAAAACATGAACATGAAGGATAAAAACAGTTGTTGAGGGCCTCCACGTCAACAAATGTGTCTGCACTGAAAGCATCATTCTTAGTTGCGGACCGCATTGCTAAAGCTAAGAAGCCCTTTACTATTGGGGAAGAATTGATTTTGCATGCTACTTAAGGATATTTGCAGTGAACTTTTTGGAGAGGCTGCGATGAAAAAGGTAGCAAACATCCCCCTTTTGGCTAGCACCATAACAAGAAGAATTGATGAAATAGCGGAGGACGTTGAGGCACAGTTGTTACAGAGGATAAATTGAGTCACCATGATACACAATTCAGGTGGACGAATCTACTGATGACAACAAGGCAATACTGCTCGTTTTTGTGCAATATATTTTTCAAGAGGATGCGCATGAGGATTTATGTGCACTATTTTTGTCAACCAACACCACAGCTGCAGAACTATTTAAGTCCTTGAATGATTACATATCAGGAAGACTTAATTGGTCATTTTGTGTCGGTGTATGCATGGATGGAGCAGCTACGATGACTGGACGGCTTTCAGGTCTGACAACACGGATCAAGGAGGTTGCTTTCGAATGTGAGTCTACACACTGTGTCATCCATATGGAAATGCTAGCGAGCCGAAAACTGTCACCTGAGCTTAACAGTGTTTTGCAAGATGTGATTAAAGTTATTAACCACATCAAAGTACATGCCCTTAATTCGTGTCTGTTCGAGCAGCTCTGGGAAGAGATGGATGCAGAACATAGATGTCTTCTCTTGTACATCGAAGTTGGATGGCTTTCTAGAGGCAAATTGCTGGCTAGAGTTTTTGAGTTACAAGAGTCCCTGCAGAGATTTCTTCTAGAAAAACGGTCCCCACTGGCAGAGTATTTCAGCAACACTGATTGGGTCTCGAAACTTGCTTACCTGGGTGACATTTTTAACCTGCTCAACAAACTCAATCTCTCACTTCAAGGGAAAAATGACAACTTTTTTCAAGTTGTCATAAGGTTGCTGCATTCAAAGCCAAACTGGAATTATGGAGACGGAGAGTGAACGCAGGGATTTTCGACATGTTTCACACAGTAGCAGGGATTATAGAAGAGACTGAGGTCAGACCTTCATTCTCCCAGTTGGTGCATGACCACCTGTCGCAGCTTTCAAAGGAGTTTGAGCATTACTTCCCAATCACAGAAGTCCTAGTTGAAAACCTGGTAGATCCTGTAATTCTTTTTTTAATACAGTATGTCATTTTAAACTGGTGAGTCAGAAAGTTTCCCCTTTTGCACATCAAAATGTTTACAAAGTCTTGACTTACATCATATTTATTTACAGTGTCAAAATCCGACCGTTTGACGCTAAAATGATTGATTTAATTCTACAAAGGTTTTTGTTATTGAAACCCCCGCGCCTCTACCCGGTCCGTGGAAAAGGACAGGAAAGGAATGGATCCGCAACCCATTTGTGAACAAGCCAGGTCAATCAACCCTATCCCTCCTTGAGGAGGAACAACTGGTTGAGATTGCAAATGGTGGTGGCCTTCGATCCATGTTTGAGACAACTTCAAACCTCTTTGCATTCTGGATTAAAGTCAAAGCAAAATATCCTGACATCGCCACAAAAGCACTGAAAGCCCTTCTTATATTTCCAACCTCATATCTTTGTGAGGCGGGGTTTTCTGCGGTGACAGCCACCAAAACAAGACTACGGAGTAGACTGGATATACGGAACACAATTCAAGTGTCACTGTCTCCCATCACCCCCAGATGGGACCATCTAGTTGCAGGGAAACAAGCCCAGGGCTCCCACTGACTCTGCATTGCGGTGAGTTGATATTATAGTGTAGAATTATTGTAATTGCCTAATATAAAGTGTAATTGTTGCATTCAGGTTACATACTATGAACTGACAAAGGTTTTTGTTATTGAAACCCCTGCACCTCTATCCGGTCCGTGGAAAAATTTTCACGCATGAAACTGGTCCCTGGTACAAAAAAGGTTGGGGACCATTGGTTTAAGGATCTCCTTGAATAGTCAATCTCCAGGCAGTTGTGCGTTCATGTGAGCTTGCCTGACATCCACTGGTGCCATTTTAAAAGCAGAATTTCTTGACTGTGTGCAGCTTTGTGGATATATTTTCCCTCCTGCTGCTGCACTGTGACCAGAGGATGTGGAGAAAAATACAGGACCTGAGGTTACTGCATGTCTGGGAATGTTCCTGTACAGGGACTCGTTTTACCTGACCGGGTCTAACCTACAAGCAGCCAGGCAGTGAAGCCCCCTGCAGTGGTGAATGATCAGCTCATCAACATTGTATTCCTCCGGAGCACAGTACCCGTTTGTTCTGACTGCTTGAGGCCAGTGTGTCTGCTGCATGTGATACTGCATCAGTTTTATTCTTTGTTCAGAATAAACGCTCACTCCAATTCTGATGCTGCAACACATTCCAAAAAACTTGTATCGGCTGCATTTCAGGGCCAGTAATGAGGTAAAACAATGAAATGATGATTCCATTTGAACCAGGTGATGTCAACAGGTGACTGCATCATGATTTTGTACAAAAATGGCATACAGGAAAGGCTGAGCCCTTTAGGAGCAAAGATGGGCTGAGGACTGCCAGTTTGACAACATATGTTTGAGGAAATTTTTGAAATGTTTAAAAACAATGTTCCTCAAAGAAAGATAGGAAGGGATGTGGATCTGTCACCCTCTACAGTGCAGAACATTAATAGAATCAAGGAATCTGGAAGGATTTCAGTGCATAAAGGTTACAAGCTTAAGCTGGATGACCGAGCTCTTCGATCCCTCAGACAGCACTGCATCAAGAATCTTCACTCATCTATAAGCAATATAACCACATGGGCTCAGGATCACTTTGGCTCACCTGTGTCAGGCACTACAATATGTAGTTACATCCATAAATGCTGCTTAAAATTGTACCGTGCCAAGAAGAAGCCCTATGTCAACAGTGTCCAGAAGCACAGTCGACTGCTCTGGGATCAGAGGCATCTGGGATGGACCATCACACAGTGGAAACGTGGACTGTGGTCAGACCAATCAGTATTTCAGGTCTTCTTTGGAAGGAATGGAGGCCGTGTGCTCCGGACCAAAGACTAAAGGACCATCCAGACTTGTTGCCAGCAACACATCCAGAAGCCAGAGTCTGTCATGGTCTGGAGTTGTGTCAGTGTCCTTGGCAAAGGTCACTTACATTTCTGTGTTTACTCCATTTATACAGAGAGATGTTGGAGCAACATATGCTGCCTTCAAGACAACATCTTTTCCAGGGATGCCCATGCATATTTCAGTGAGACAGTGCAAAACCTTATACTGCACATTACCAAGGCCTGGCTGTGGAGGAGAGAAGGGTGTGAGTGCTGGACTGGCCTGCCTGCAAGTCCCGACCTGTCCCCAATAGAGAATGTGTGGCGCATGTTGAAATGCAAATTACATCAACAAAGACCCAGGACTGTTGTGCACCTTAAGACTTGTTTGCAGGAGGAATGGGACAAAATGACACCTGACACATTTAATCACTTTGTGTCCTCAGTCCCTAAACGTCTTTTAGTGTTGTGAAAAGGAACGGCAGCATCACACCGTGGTAAATGCTTTACTTTCCCAAGAATAAAATTGATGAGGTATCACATCAATGTGCTGCTGTATTGATTTCAATGTAATAAAGAACACAGATGATTTCACTTTTTTCTGTTTTAATTTTGATGTTACATATCATCCCTACTTTTTCTTATTTGTGGTTGTAGATGGATAAAACATTAAAATGCATAAATGTACACAGCAAGATATAAATATTAAAATCAATTTATGGATAAAACATCACAGTGCAAATTTGATAACACATTAAAAATTACTTAAAAGCAACAATTACATGACAGTACAAGTAGCAATATGCATGAGTAGATGCATAATACCATTAGTATAGCTGTGGCAGACTGTGGAGTCTCACTGTTCTCATTATACTTTGTACTCCTTTACTTCAGGCTTCCCAAGACTAACCTGTGAGTATTTTAGCATCAGAGCTAGGCATACTTACTCTAGGAATTACAAACACCAGTGTCTGTTGAGTCAGCTGAACAGTCCCAAAACGTTTATGGTAGTTGTGGCAAACTTTGGATTCTCACTGTTCTCATTACCAAGGGGTAATGTCTGATGACGACTTAAGATTTGAAAGTTTCTTTTCCCTGATGTCCAGAATCAGAATCAGCTTTATTGACCAGGTGTGCTGGACATGAGGAATTTGACTCTGGTATAGTGGTTCTCAATGTTTACGTATATATCCCCATGCAAGGCAACAGCAAGGGGCAAGACAACAATGTACCAACATAATGCTGTGTAGTATAACAAAATAAACGGTATGAACAAGCAATAAACAATGCAAAATAAACTGTATAAACAGGCAGTAAACAATGCAGTCAGAGAAAGGAATGTTCATTGGGAGAAGAGATAAAAATGTAGTAGGCTGAAAAAAACTGAAAAATCAACTGGACTAGGTTTTTAGGTCGAAGACATTTTACCTCTCATCCAAGAGGCTTCATCAGTTCTGCCTGACTGGCCTTGAGTCGGAGATATTTATCTATCTGCTGATTTTGAACTCTGCCCTTAGTGTCCTGCCTTCCAAAGACTTGAGCCCCATTTCTACCCAAAGAAATTTCCCCAGGAGCAGGAACCTTTTTTTGAAAAGTTGTTTATCTCCTTTTCCACTGGAGGAGCCAGTGTCTAAAGTTAGTTCTGGGGCATAGTTCTACCCCTCAAAATAAGTACCTAGCCATCGGGTATAACTTTCTGAAGGAACTAATGCACTAATGCAACTGACTCTGAATTCCCTGGGTTCTTATTTTGTAACGAGCATTTTATTAATAAGGTTACATGGAAAGACCAGTGAGTGAGTAAAAAAATACACCTAAGTGAGAATAAACTGGCTGAAAAAGAATTTCAGCTTTGCCTGCAGTCTGTCCTCCATGGCTGTTGTGTGTTAACCATAGCAAGCATTGGGACTTGATGGTGGAAATGCACCTTTAGTTGGAGCCAACAGGCCCTAAACAAAACAACATGGGTGGGAGATTTTAAAGAGAAACTAACGGAGCCGGTCAACTATAACCGGCAGCCTTCTTAACATTGACAACAAAGTAGCCCCACTGAGTTTTAACCATGTATAATCATGTTGTGAAAAATTAAAGATTCGCAAGGAAATTTTTCAGTGGTTTGGATCTTCCCCCTAGTGGATATATATGAACAATTTAACTTGTATCACAGACCCTTTTCTACATGTAGGTATTGTATAAATCCAGGATGTTCCTATTTCAGTGACTAGTTTACCCATCTTTTCCTTTCCTGCCTCAGCTCACCCCACTCTTCAAACCGCAAGTCACATCAGAGACGGACACTCGGTACTTTGATGACGAGTTCACAGCACAGACCATCACGCTCACTCCTCCAGACAAGTGTAAGTACCCTCTGAATGTAGAATAGCCATTCAGGTCCATGTGGTGACACTGTCAGTGTACTAACACAGCTTGATCCGTAGTCGTCTGGTTTCTTGGCTGGAATGTGACAATTAACGTCTGCTGTCTTGTTTTTACAGATAATAGTCTGGACTGTGAGGACCCCAGCCAGCAAGCACATTTCCCCCAGTTCTCCTATTCTGCTAGCATAAGAGAATGATGGCTTCTCTGGCCTATATACACAAAAATATGAGGCAGGAACACTGTGGCCACATCCCTTAAATTTCTAAGTGACCAGAACCTCCATCTTTAATGAAGGTTTTGGTCTCTTCAGGATCTAAGTGCCTCGGCTGGTGGCCATATTGTTCTCTATGCCCGTCATCCACACTACAGACAAAGCCTGGCCACACTGGCTGTACTGTATCGAACTGGACTTCAGTACCTCACATAGGCGTCAGCACAACTCAACAGCACAAATCAGGACTCTGTCTGTAGGACCTTCGGATGGATTATAAACAACTGCTGCTGCTTTTTCAGACTGCAAACGTGTAATTTTGTAACTCTCTTCTTTCCATGGTCTTACAAAAAACTATACAGTTCTTTCATGACGTTTCCAAGTGCTCCTTTTCAGAACTAGCCGTTACCACTGGTCATAGACAGGTATATGAGGGAGTAAGAGAAGTGGCAAATTGTTGGGTGTTCTTCCTCTCATGTTTTTCTTTTTGTTGTTATTTTTGTTTTTTATTTTTCTATTTTGAGAAAATGGTGGCATCAAATTCAGACTGAATGTCATAATTTCTGTCGGTGAGCCTGTGAGAGCAGTGTCTATACAATGCTTGCTCATCATGTACCAGAAACAACAGATGAATTCACAACACATGATGATGATAGCATCTTCACAGAGAAAATTTATGTCAGAGGAAAATGTGAGGTGTTTAGAGAGAGAGATGTCCTTTTTAAACTATATGCATTGGAAAAAAATCACCTGTATATTTGTTTGCTCTCACAACAAAGATGATCTTTAACACATGCTGAGTGGTAAACAGCAGTTGATGGGAATTGGGAATGCCTTAATACGCAATATGTTATTTAAGCAAGGCTTTTTAATTGGACAACTTTTTTTTTTTTTTTTGATCAACAAAATACACACCAGGCATGTCATTTAGGGGGTTCAGTATGCACTTAGTGATTTAAAGCATATCTTTCATATGGTCTAATTTGGTAATGTAGCGGAAAGCCTCCTAGACTGATGACAGTACTTAGCAAATTGTGTCGGTTGCACCAAGTATCAAAAAGTATTAGATACCAAAAGTTGGCATCACATGTCTGATCAGATTTATAATCATGTTAACTAGTTTGACCAGTTAACTAGTTTTGACTTCTGATTCACAAACATTTTGCCACTTTTCTATATATATATTTTTTATTTTTAGGTTTTTGTACAGCTATTTGTGTTCAGACTCCAACTAATATTTGGGAACGTTGGCTCTTTTTTGCTAAATGTGAAACAAATGTAGAAATGCTCAGTTATCAAAGAGCATCATTTATATGTACTGAAACTCAGGTGTGAAATCAGCACTACTATTGAAAAACTCAAAATGATAGCAAGCCCTAGCACCAAACTAATTTTGTATCACTATGAAAGAACATTTTCATATATGGAATGTCATCCTTTCTTGGCATTCAAAGTTAATTCTGTAACATGACCAGTTCAGTTGTATGTATGTTATACTGTATCTTTGTAGCTTTTCTATGAAAGTAGTGTTTCCTCAGATCGCAGCTCGCCATTTTATATTTTACCTACTGGAGATTTTTCAAGCCTGAACTTGTGGCTTAGAGTTCACATGCTTTAAAGTCCTCTAGGTTATGTGTGCAAGCTCCAAAGGAGTATAGCACACCTCTTGCAATCCTGTAGGCATCTTATTATTCTTTCATTTTATTTTTCTTCCCCCTAAATATTGTCCAGCTACTCCTCCCACAGTACATACACATACAGATACACAATACACCTTAGCCAAATACATTTAAACTCAGTTTGTCACAACTCCTGACATTTAATCTTATAAACATTCACTGTCCTTGTTAGGATCACTACTTTATTTTATGAATGCGAAATGTCAGAATAAAAGTAGAGAAAAGATTTATTTCAGCTTTTATTTCTTTCATCACATTCCCAGTGGGTCAGAAGTTTACGTACACTCGGTTAGTATTTGGTAGCATTGCCTTTAAATTGCTTGGGTCAAGTGTTGGGCCAAACATTTCAGTGTGCCTTCCACACTCTTCTTACAAGCTACTGGAATTTCAGCCTGTTCCTCCTGACAGAACTGGTGGAACTGAGTCAAGTTTGGAGGCCTCCTTGCTTGCACATGCTTTTTCAGCTCACAAATGTCCTATTGGACTTAGATCAGGGCTTTGTGATGGCCACTCCAGTACCTTGACTTTGTCGCCCTTAAGCCATTTTATTGCAAATCTGGAATCTGCCTGGTGTCACTGTCCATTTGGACAAGACCCATTTGCAACCAAGCTTTAACTTCCTGGCTGATGTCTTGAGATGTTGCTTCAGTATATCCACATCATCTTTCTTCCTCATGATGCCATTTTATTAGTGAAGTGCCCCAGTCCCTCCTGCAGCAAAGCACCCCCACAATATGATGCTGCCACCCCCGTGCTTTGTGGTTGGGATGGTGTTTTTTTCAGCTTGCAAGCCTCCCCCTTTTCCTCCAGACATAATGATTTAATGGCCAAACAGTTCAGTTTTTCATTCATCAGACCAGAGGCCATTTGTACAAGAAGCAAGATATTTGCCCCCATGTGTATCTGCAAACCGTAGTTGGCCTTTATGGTGGTCTTGGAGCAATGGCTTCTTCCTTACTGAGCAGCCTTTCAGGTTATGTCGATACCGGACTCATTTTACTGTGGATACAGATACTTTGGTACTTGTTTCCTCCAGTATCTTCACGAGGTCCTTTGCTGTTGTTCTGGGATCAATTTTTACTTTTTGGACCAAAGTACGTTCATCTCTAGGAGACAGAACCCATCTCCTTCCTGAGCAGTATGATGGCTCCGTTGTCCCATGATGTTTATACTTGTGTAGTATTGTTTGTACAGATGAATGTGGTCCCTTCAGGCATTTGTAAATTGCTCCAAAGGATGAACCAGACTTGTAGAGGTCCACAATTTTTTTTCTGAGTTCTTGGCTGATTTTTTTTAATTTTCCCATGATGTCAACCAAAGAGGTACTGAGCTTGATTGTAGGCCTTAAAATCCATCCACAGGTGCACCTTCTATTGACTGGAATGATGTCACTTCTGATGTCTATCGGAAGCTTCTAAAGCCATGACATAATTTTCTGGAATATTCCAAGTTGTTTAAAGGCCGAGTGTATGTAAACTTCTGACCCACAGAAATTGTGATATAGTGAATTATAAGTGAAATAATCTCTCTGTAAACAACTGTTGGAAAAATTGCTTGTCATGCATAAAGTAGGGTCAGCAGTAGATCAGCAGTAAGGTCCTAATCACCTTGCCAAAATGAGAGTTTACCTTGACGTCTGTGGAGTGGTTAAAAAAACAGTTTTAATTACTTCAGCCTAAGCGCATTTAAACTTCTGACTTCAATTGTACATGAAATTCAAGTATGCCATCAGGAATAGTGTACTATGACTTTTGGTGAGGATCTGGTCTACGGTTTTTGTACAAATGATGAAAAACAAGCGAACCCCCCCTCAAAGGACTGGATTTGGAAGCTTTTTTTTTTTTGGAACATCTCAAACTATTAAAGGTAATAACATCAAACTTCGTATCTAACTTCCTTGTGACAAGACACACTGACTACAAAAGCATGACCTCTATTGCACCACCTAGTGGTCAGTTATAGGTGTTTATGTGATCTTTTTACATTTTCATTAACTCATGACCTGTAAAGCTTAGAAAAAGGGTTTTTTTGTCTGATTCCTTGTAAGCTTCTGAAAGCTTTTGCCATTGGGGCTGCCTACTTTCACTTGACTAGATTTTCCAATTTATGAATTTTTTGTAAAACCTTTTTTCACTGCATATTCTCTATACTTCATCTTCATGGCTTCACCAGTCATAGTACATAGCCTGGAAACAATGGTTCCACTTGTTCTGCAATATTCCTTGCCGTTCTCCTGCTATATTGGCCACTGAAGACGAGTGGGTGGGGTCAAAAGGTGTCAAATGCTACAACTCTCCACTAAAATTTCCAAATGCAGCCAAAATTGGATCCTCGGTCCCCATAGAATTTCATACGCAGTTGACCGGGGGGCGCTGGCACTACAGTTAGCCAAAATATATCAAAATCTTACTTCCTATTGCCTTTAAAAGTTTAATAAAATATAAGTCATCAGTGGGTTGCTATAGTTCAACTAAACTTGGGGGCCTTATGCACCTAAGGGTTCTGAAGGAGTGTCTGAGTTTCATGCACCCCTGCCCTTAGGGGGCGCTACAGTGAATGTCATTGACTACCTAAATTTAAAGCTAGCTATTTTTGCCTTTGTTTTTTGTAGATGGGTCAATCAAAGATGCATTGACACTACACACTTTGCCCTATTTTGGTGTAAAGTAGCTTTTTAATTTAATGCATAGTTTTTGAATGACAGCCGACTGTTTTCAGCTCATGCCCCTCCCCTTTTATTATCAGTCACACTGCCATGGTGCCACTTACATCAGTCACTCCATCTCTCAATTATACAAGAATCTTAGACCTTGAAGTGGTCAAAAAATAATTTTGATGTATTTTAGTCCCTTGGTCAGCCAGTCTAGAGATTTTTCCTCTGATGTCACACAAGTACAAATGCTATATAATGTTTTGCAGGTCCTTCTCGTTCATATGATCTAAGAATCTCATGTCTATGTCTTTTACTTTTGAAGGAAAAAGTGCTTCATCTTGTCTCCCAGTGTCTCCCAGGCGATCCAGACACACACTGTCACTCTATCTCGTTCTGTTATTATTTCTGTCTTTGGTTTTCTTTGTCACTTGCTCTGCTTTGATTCAGCCAAATCCCACATCATTCTATACGAAAACCTGTTGTCATTGGGTCTTATTTCATCATGTGTGGACAAACCTTATACTGCTGTGTTCTGCAAGTCTTGACCGACAGTTCAGGGATGATAGCGTGGCTAGGTAGCGTGAGGGGAGGTGGTGGTGGTGGTTGGATTTCTTCAGAAATTTTACATTTTCTAGTTGAGTATCTGTCATCTTTATTTAAATCTTTCTGTTCCTACAATGTTCCAGTGGATGCTGCTGCTCTTCAGACTTGAACGTGCCATGAGATTTAACTAGATACTAGAAACTGCATACATCGTGAACATGGTCTATTGTGACATTTTCTGTTTGAGTGCAATGTGGACTTGCAAGGATGTCATTATTATTTTCAGTTCTTCCCATCATTATTACCAACATTATATGGTTTCAGGAGGTGTGCACCTTTGAGATTTGCAATACTGAGTTTTATACATGCAACACTGTACTGGTGCTACACTATTGGGACACTCAAAGAAAGAACTGGTGCAGAAAATCTGCTCAACCTGCTCCCAGGGCCTTCTACCACATATGCTGTTTTGGAATAATTTCCTTTATTTTGTTTTTTGTCTTTATCTCTGGTTTTATTTGTCAACTTCCTGGTTTCTCTCATCTTTCTTCTACACTGAACCTGCTTCACAGATGGTTTCATTAAAAAAAATGTTAGTTGCATTTTCAACCAATGCATTTCTATTTGTCTATGAATATAATTGTGAAAGACAATGATCCAATACATCTGTTGAACTGTCTTAATACATCTTTGTGTTTTGATTCTCTTCATCCCTCCACTGTAAAAGTTCTGTTTTTCTACTTGGCCTTATTAGTAAAATGCACTAATCAGCCAGTAAAACCACCAGCCTAATATTGTGTAGGTCTTGCTTGTGTAACCCAAATAGCTCTGACCCTTTGAGGCATGGACTCTACAAGACATGTTAGCTATAAGTGGCAGATCCTTTTAGTCCTATAAGTTCCCAGGTGGGGCCTCAATTAACTGAACTTGATGGCCAGTGGTAATATTGTTACCATGAAGGTGTTTACATGGTCTGCAACAGTGTGTAGTATGTGTGTCAAAGTAGCAACCACATGAATGCCAAGATCCAAGGATTCCTAGTACAACATTGCCCAGATCATCACACTGCATCTGCCAGCTTGCCGTCCTCCCATGAAGTTTCCTGGTGCCATCTCTTCCTCGGGTAAATGATTACTTTCTTTTGCACCATGATCAGAGTATAAAAGTTCCACTTTTGTCAAACCTAGGTGTGAGATTGATTATGACCCTTAAACTCTGCCTACTTTTGACTCCTTGCTTCCGCCTAGATCAATGTGCTAACCAGTAACTAGATACAGTACTTCAAAAGATATCACATAGCCATGTTAAATTTCTACAGCAGAACATTTTATTATAGGTTTTATAACAGCAGCATTGGATTTTATTAGGGTTTCCCATGGGGGGAATATGACAGAAGGCCACCTGTATATCATAGTCTCCTTTCTAGTGTACCACCACAACTGGAACAGATTAGGGATAACACATCAAAGGAGTTTTATTTGGTCTGACAACC